ATGTTTCAGAATGCATGATGTGAGTGAAAAACATGATTTTTGAGCTAGGAAATGTTCCTCTTTATGCCAATGCTTTTGCATTTTCATTCTGTATGTAAGACATATTTTGTTTTGATAGATATATTTAGATAGAATGGATAAAACACACGACATCTAAGTCAGAAAGATTTTCCATTTTTATGTGTCAGAATGTTTCACATATTGTGGTATGATATCTCCAAATATTTGAAATGAATATATAGAATTTTTTATTGAGTTATATTTTCATAGTACAAAATCCTTTAAAGAAAGTTAAATTTTGTAAATTATTTTTATATTGGAAGGCACTCTTGTGAGTGTTTGAGTGTTCATTCTCTCCTTAGTTAAAAGTCTTGTAGCCAAAAAAATGTCTTATAGCATATATATTTTGAAGTTGGTAGCACTATTATCCACAGAGAAAAATTTTCTTCTTAATTGAATATCTACTTCTTTCAAAAACCTTTACCATTTATATCAGGGGTGGCTATGAGTATTTCTGCTCATGAAATATGAAACCGGGGAGTGAACGTTTAGTAAGATTCTAAAAATATCTATACGTTTAGCAATAGAAACAGCAGATTCTATCACTATCAATAATGGGTTTGTAATATCAGATACAATTTATTTTTTCCCCTTTTTGACCTTAGTAGTTTTGACATTTTGCACCCATATGATAGAGCTAAATTATTATCAGTTGAAATATATTCTTACTCTTTATGTTCTAGGAATTAGGGTCTCAGTTTCAAGAAGAGAGAGGGTAAAGTATTTTGGGAGTATTTCCTGTTTCATTTTGTTAGTTGGCAGTTTCAGCTTTCTGCATCTAGAAAGGCTTTTGTGTTTTAAACCAACTTGAACAATTTGTAAATTCATTTAAGAAAAAAATTTGGAGATGTAAAGAAACACCTGTTATTAAATTACACTTTATCACTGGGCTCAAAACTCACCCTCTATAATTACTTGTGAAAGTCTATATTTATAACAGAGTAATTTACAATACGTTTAGTTTAGGTAGAAAAACACAACCAATTCTAGACACCATAGTGCCACAAAATTGTAGGGACTGTATATCTGCCCTTCAGAAATTATTGTTGGGTAAGGAGTTAGTTATTCTTGGTTGCAAGGTCTAGTTTTGAAACCCCAACAACCTTGGATATCGATGGGGATTCTGCTCACCCAGCATCCCTTAACAGGATTTTATGTGCGGCTCAGGTGCATGAACACCACAATGAACCCCACAGGTGTGTCCCACTTGTTGCTTTTTTTTTTTTTTTTTAAATCGTCTTCTGTCTTCCCTCTGAACACAGTATAAACACTGCTGAGCTCAGTTGGTTGGAATGCCCTGAATTTGTAGATTCGATTTCTGTAACATACTGTTAGCTTTTCTCACTTTTGGGGCCAGAGCCTGGACACCCAGGTGGAGATCAGCCCAGAAGCCTGTAGATAGAGTATAGGCGATTCAGCACAATCTGTCACCACTTCTTGACAAGTAACCAGAAGTGCATGACACACTGGGATGTCCCAATAGCAGATGCAAATAGTAACACAACAAAATGAGCCTTTCCAGTCTGGGGGAAATCACAGTGTCTGTCTATTCTGCAGAACTTAGGAAAATAGGTACAAAAGTGGAATTTGGCATTGTCAGACTTATAATCCTGCCTTCCAGTTGATTGGGACAGTATATCTGTTGCCACCTTGAAAAAAACTCCATTTTTATAATGGTAGATTCTTTAGATTAGTCAGAACTTCATTCCCCAGTTCCCGTTTAACTCTGGAGCCTAAAGTGTGCTGTCAAAGAGTGAATTTGGTTGACAGACCTGAAAACATTTTCTGATATGTTTTTAGTGTTTGAAACTCATCCAAGGTGAAGAAAGTTTACTTTTTAAAACACTAAGTTAGCTAGGTGCAGTAGTCAGGCCTGTAATCCCAACAACTCGGGAGGCTGAGGCAGGAAGATCTCTTGAGCCCAGGAGTTTGAGACCAGTCTGGGCAACATAGCAAGAACCCACCTCTAAAAAACAAAAAAATACCAAGCTATTTTTAGGTTCTTACATTTTAAAATTAGCTGAGTTTTTAGTCTTCTAGCTGTGCTTATGTAGTTTTAGTTCCCAAGAAGGACCAGTTGGTTCTTGCTTAAAGAAAATTTCACCATCCTCTATATATGACAGGGTCATACTTTTTCTTCTTTATTGTGATAAAATACATATAACCCAAAGTTTACCATTTTAACCATTTTTAGGTGTGCAGTTCAGAAGCATTAAGTGCATTCACAATGTTGTGCAACCATCATCACTGTCCATCTCTAGAACATTTTTATCATTCCAAACTGAAGCTCCACCCATTAAACAATAACTCCTCATTCCTCCTATCCCCAGCTACTGGTAACCACCATTCTATTTTCTGTCTCTGTGAATTTACCCAGTCTTGGTATCTCATATATGGGGACTCATACCATATTTGTCCTTTTGTGTCTGGCTTACTTCACTTAGCATAATGTCCTCAAGATTCATCCATGTTGTAACATATGGCAGAATTTCATTCCTTTTAGAGGCTAGATGTATATACCACATTTTATTTATCATTTGTCCATCGATGGACATTTGGGTTGCTTTTACCTTTGGCTACCAAGATAGTGCTGCAATGAACATTGGTGTACAAATGTGCGTCATGTCTGATGCTTTGCAAATCCTGCCTGGCCATGTTTGCTTTTCCCCTGCACCATGCTTCTTATTTCCCCGACTAGATAATAAGGTCCACAAGGTAGGGGCAAGTGTTACACTTTCTGGTATTTTCTAGCCTTTATTCTGTTTCTGTCAATATCTTACATATTTTAGGGATTTAGTTCCTTGATGCTGATAATAATAGATTATGTAGGCTAAACTTAAATAAGAAAGCTGTTTAGAGATACATAGTATTTAAAATATTATTTTCTGTCCATATTTATATAGGGAGGGTATTTGACTTGTTTTCCCAAGCTCCACTGAGCAGGGGCCAAAATCCAGCTGTGTGTTCACTTCAGTGCTGAGTTAACATAACTGTCAGTGGTCACCCACTCCCAGGTGTTTAATAATAGAGTAAAAGCCAAGAGGTATGTATGGGGTCATGAGTCAGGAAAATTTAAATAGGTCTTGCTGATTGGAATGGGAATCCATAGAAGGTTTTTTGTTGCTGTTTTTCTCTTTTAGATCAAGGACATGGAGTTCAAATACCTACCACGTTAACTTGGGTGGGGGGGGGTGGTAAAAGCTGGCTTCCCTGTCCTAGGAAGTTTTTCTCTTATAAAAATAGGTCTTTTATGCATCCCAGAGTTGTCATACGAAGCAAAAATGGCTTCATAAGTGTGGGCTGCAAAGGAACCCTCCACTGGAAACCTTATATTTTGCATTGAAAAAAGAAGCAGTTTAAGTAAGAATTCATATCAGATTCATGATTGAAAGTTGCACTGATGTAATTTGAGAATATTTTTAAATGTTTTTATGCTTGGCACATATTTACTGCTTTGTGAAGAACCAAAGTTTCATTTGCCAATTGTACTTGAGGTACATCCCGTGTTAGAAGAACGTTCATAAATGGGCCTTTGTTTAAGGCTTTTAAAATAAACAACAACAAGTAGGAGGAGATGGTTTCTGGAAGCTGCTTTGATGAAATTTCACCAGCTGGCTATCTGCACATAATCAGGTGGACCCACAGAGAGGGTGACAATGAGGCTATTCAGGCAAGGTGGTAGAAAACACAGGCAACCCGATTGTTTACAACCCAACAACTGAGTTGTTAAGAATTTTTATCTTTACATCAGTTACCCTGGCTTTGAGTAGCCACAGCCAGTACAAAGGATAAAAATCTATTTGCATATAGCTTGCTAATAAAAACTATGTTCCCATATTGTAAAGGTCTTTTGGAATGTACAACTGCAAAACAAACCACTCTGACCTACTCCTTCCTGCCTGCGTAGCACTGCAATAGGACCAGCTCTTTTGGGGGTAATATCTGAGGTCAAAATATTCTTAGGTCAAAATGTCAAATTTGCAACTAGTTTACTTCATAGCACGTGTCTGTTTTATTTGGGAAGCATTTTCTCCCCCTTCTTCTTCTTTTAATATAATTCAAAAAGTCCTTTACTAACAAAACAGTTCATGTACCTCTTGCCACCCTGGCGCTGTAGTTGTGGGTGCATTTTTATACTAATGGATAATGTTCCCATGCAGTTTCACAAACCCTATCCAGCCATTTCCTTGTTCCTCTCTAAGCAACCTTTCCCACCATCCAGAATTCGCAGCCGGTTTTGTTTGCCCTCTAGTGCAAGTTACAGGCGACCAAGTTTGCCAATCCCTCGAGTGGCTTTTTATGAAATATTGCAATGTATAGAGGTGTCTTTCTTTCACATCAGCAATTGTATTAGCTAGTTATTGTACATGGTAACCTGATGACAATACTGACTGGGTTCACAAGACACTTAATACAAAATCAGCCTATGGGAAAATGAACTTAAAATATTTAAATTCCCTGTGGGTGTCTGGTGCACCAGCTGGGGTGATATCCCTAGATCACAGTTGGGTACCTCATCTGCAGAAGGCGAGCTAGAAGACAAGCCTGAGCTCATTTATGGCTCTTTCCTGGGCTTTTCCACGTGTCTCCTCCAGCCCCGCAGAGGCTCCCTATTTAGATGTCACTGCCATGAAAGCCACGTCTTCCATGGTTATAGGTTTATGTAGCCGCTCTGTGTTTAAAGCAAGCTTCCTCGTACCACGCCACATTCTCAGAAATCACTCTGATTTCTAGATCTTTATTTAGAGGTTTTGTGTTTTTATTGCCGCTTGCCAATGACATAGTTTGGTTATTTTTTTTTTCAAGGCATGCAGTATATTATAACCCACTGGGATGCATTTTCTCTTCCCCAAAGCCTGCGTACAGCTCTCTTCTGAGCACATCTGTTCCTCTTTATGCACACCAGGAAAGGATTAACCCAGCTGTTCTCTGTTTTTCAGACTTGACTGAAGAACGACTTGGGGACAGCAGCTCAGGAGACAATACAGAGGCCTTCAGTGACAAGGACACTGACCAGAGGAGCTCCCCAGATGTGGTCAAGAGTAAGAGCTGCTTCACCCCTGAGAGCCCCGAGATAGTGTCCGTGGACGAAGGGGGCTATGCGGTCCAGAAAAACGGAGGCAACCCCGAGAGCCACCCCGACAGCCCCAAATACCACGCAGAGCAGAATCACCTCCTGATCGAGGGCCCATCGGGGACTGTTTCTCTGCCCTTCAGCTTGAAAGCCAACAGACCACCGCTGGAAGTGTTAAAAAAAATATTCCCCAACCAGAAGCCAACGGTGCTGGAGCTCATCCTCAAGGGCTGCGGCGGGGACCTGGTGAGTGCCGTGGAGGTCCTTCTGTCCAGCCGGTCTTCGGTCCCTGGAGCAGAGCGAACTGCAGCAGAACCCGAGAGTCTCGTCCTGCCCTCCAATGGGCACATCTTCGAACACACCTTGAGCTCCTACCCCATCTCCTCTTCCAAATGGTCCGTGGGGTCGGCCTTTCGGGTCCCAGACACGTTGAGGTTTTCTGCTGACTCTAGTAATGTCGTCCCCAACCCCCTGGCCGTGCCTCTGCAGCACCCTTTCCCGCAGCCACCCCGGTACCCGCTGATGCTGAGGAATACTTTGGCGAGAAACCAGTCGAGCCCCTTTTTGCCCAACGACGTCACCCTGTGGAACACCATGACGCTGCAGCAGCAGTATCAGCTGAGGTCCCAGTATGTCAGTCCTTTCCCCAGTAACTCTACCAGCGTCTTCAGGAGCTCGCCTGTCCTCCCCGCCCGGGCCACAGAAGACCCTCGGATCTCCATCCCTGACGATGGGTGTCCTATTGTGTCCAAGCAGTCCATTTACACTGAGGACGACTTTGACGAGAGGTCTGACTCCTCGGACTCTAGAATACTCAACACATCGTCTTAAAGTGGTACCAGATGGGTGGTGGCCAGGTGACAATTTCTGTGCATTTGGACGCTGGGGTGCCCGAGGAGAGGCCACATCTCGTGTATACCTTTTTCCTTCTGTTTGACAAAGTGACTGAGCTTGATTCTATACATTAGCAATAAAAACATAACTTATTTAACTTCTTGCACTTCACTGGAAAATGCCAAATAGCTCTGCTCTGTGGCTTTAGTGCTGAATGTTTATTGTAAAAGAGAGTCTAATGCTAAGAATAGTCTTGGGAAGGCGAGGCCCATGGAAGATTTATTTGGGGATGTAAAAGCTGAAGGTCAGCCTTGCACCTAAACTCAATCTGGAATGTGAAATAAAATAGTATACTTGAATGCAGTTTTGTAAAAGAGGATTCCTCAGGATATGTGAAACCTAAAGGAAGTGGTTCAGTTGCAAATGGACTATAAACAGGGACATTATATTCTTATGCTAAAAATCCTTCTTGCATTTTAAAGAGAGATCCACTTAAGAATAAACTGCTCATATGCTTATTTAAGCTTGGACAGTTTTCAGAGACAAAATCCATTAAGAATTATATTCTTTTCACATGGCTGAATCGAAACATGTGTAATGTCAATGTAAAACCAATCACAGCTGTGAACTGCATGAAATGTATTGTGAAATGAACACAAGATTAAGCTTTGTCAGGTTAATGTAGCATGCTAAGGACTCTAGAAAAAATAAACTAAGGAGATGATCTTGGTTTATGTCATTTCTACTTGTGGAAAGAGGATCTCTAAAAATAGAAACTTGATATAAAAGCTACTTACTACTACATGAGCCAGGAATCAAAGTATCACTTAAATGAGACATTCCTTGAGAAATAGGAGTGGCAAAGTTTAGGGCTGCTTTCAGAAAGGCAGAATTTGTTAAAGAATAGAATTAATTCATTCCCTCCATTCAGTTCTTCAACAGACACTTATTGGGTGCCTACTGTGTGTAAGATAATGTGCTTTCTATGTTAATGTCCACGTTACCTATCCATGAGTCTAAGCAAGGATTATAATGGAGAATCCCATTAAAACCAGGATAAATAAAAAACCACCAACAATGTACAGTTGAGTGTGGGAAGCAAGGAAAGTGCTTAGCACAGTACTTGACATAAATGAGAACTATTGCTCCGCTTAAGTTCAGCAGCTTTGCGTTCAGAATATGGACACGTATTCCCTCATTCTCACTTGGAGAAGATGCCATTCTGCTTTGAGGGAAAACATTGGAAATAAGGGCTTTGTTCCTTCATTTGAAAAGCATTCTTAGGGGTGCTATACATGGCAAACTTCTTGCTCAGATATTTTTAAAGAGAATTTTCAAAACAGTAATATTCAGTAATGCCCACACCAGCCTCTTCTCTGTTTCCATTCTTCAAAGTGCTTCAAGGTAAGATGACTGCTCAGGTCAGATAATGAACTTAAGGAATGTGGAAGAGAAAGTAAATAATCAAATAAATCAAAGTCTCTACATGACAAGGATGCAGGGAGAGTTCCCAATGCAGGAATAAGTTTTGAAGGGCTCTTCAGTCCTGGGAGGGGAGAAAGGCAAGTCCTCTTAGCTTGAGATACTCCCTATCCTTGGAAGGGTTTCCAGGTAAAAGGGGATATTTAAAACAAAAGAACCTTCTCATTTTTATTTCCACTGGGCACTTTTGAAATGAAAGATTTTGAGGGGGAAAATTCCTTATATTTAGTTGGACTAATATGTATTTAGTTGATATAGTTACATACCAGAGTATTTAAAAGTAAATATGATTTATTAGGGATATATATATATATATATATTAGGGTTATATTTAAACATTTATATTTACATAAGACAATGAGGGAGTGGAGGGGTGAATAATTTGCCCTGATTCTAAAGACACATGTCCAGGACATCTTATGTGACAGTGATGTGCTGATGTCTGGACCTACTTAGGACAAAGGTACTATAAAAGGCATCCTCATTACAAAAGTTTACTCATATTTATTTAATAAGCAACTATGACAATGTGCCACGTAAACCAAGATGCTACAAAGTCTGTCCTTGGATGTTACTTCTTCAGGTTGAACCACCCAAATTGAACAAAACTTCGCTGATACGGTGTCCTTATAGCTTGATTTTGCTTACAAATCATCAATATCATTGACCTCATTTTACAGCGGCCAGCAAAACAGAATTAATTATCTGCAAGGCAGTTTATTCGTGGGCTAGTGCAGGCATGTTTGATCCTCTATATAATCCTCTGAAGAAAGAAATGTATGCTTCAGTGGGGTAAGTGTGGTCAGGGGTCAGAAATGAGAAATTGGTTGTTGAGATCCTGTGTCCTTCCGGCATTTGTTCCCTCTGCAGTCCTGATGGCTGTGCCCCGTCTGGTTAAAGTGGCAAAACCTCTTAGATTCCAACTAAGCTCTCAAAGACCATCCAGCCACAGTAGAATTCAGGGGAAATGAACGCTCATTTGCCTATGGGCACTCAGTTCCTCTTTCACATGAAACCGAACATCTGGATGAAAAGAGAAAAGCAGTCAACTACCTTCTGCTTGAATTCCACCTGTCACACAGGCAGCACATCTGGGTGCTTGGCTGAACACTTTCAGCTTTCATCAGCTGATGTTTGACCTGTCAGTCAATCCAGTCTTAGAGAAGGTTAATTCACATTAAACCACAGCGTTTCTCTTCTCTTTCTGGTGAGGATCTGCCAACTCCTAGTCTTTGTGTAAGTGCTTTGTTCATGTAAGATGCTTCTGAGTGTGACTGGGTTGGTCATGCTGTTCTAGAACACTCTCTCTCAGAGTGGTCCCTGCAGCCAGATGCTTGTCTCTAGTGTAGATTCCTGGGCCCAATTTGTTGAGTCAGAATCCCTGGTGGCCTAAGCAGTATATTTTTCATCATCCTCTCGAGATAATTTGTAAACTCACTAAGATTTGGGAATGACCTCTCTTCATCACATCTGTGAATTTTCTTCTTAGATTTGTGCCAAGTAAAAGGGCTGAGGGATATAAAGGCTTTGTGCTGAGATTTCTAAATCCTCTGCACTCCCGGCTACTTTGCCATGGCAAGGGTAACCTTTAACATGTAAGCAGTCTTAGTACATACGCTAGAGCTAGTTCAAATAATTTTGGCATTAGTGTCAATTACTAGCTTGAGTACACATTTTGGGTCAGAAAGGCCTGTTTCTGGAAATGTCAGGTTGGTGAAGACCTGGTAACAGCATTGATGTGCTACCCTTTCCCCAAGGGGAGGGCCAAGCTTTTTGGATCTGCTGACCCTTCCTTTCCTGTTGCATGATTCCCAGTTTACATCTGGGAACAGGTTTTGCCCTGGATCTTTGAATTTTAAGACATCTCAACACTCTTGATGATGGGGGTCGGGAGGAGGAGTAGTTTTAGGGATGAATTGAGAAGCCAGGCACTTGTTAGGTATATGGCTCTGATTGCATTAATAGCAGAACAATCTGGAGAGGTGACAGACACCGGGGGAAAGGGGCAATGATTCTAAACCACTGCTCCAGGCTAAGTTAATCAACAGGCTCATAAGAACATTTAAAATTTATAAAAAGAGATAGGATTAGAGAAGGGGGTGAGAGGTGTAGCAGGCATAGATCACCAGATTTGCTGTTTAGGGACTCAACTCCCAAGGTCTCCTGCTTGCCCTAAGGATAGATCAGGCGGGAGGTGGTGGGAGAGGGAGCATCTTGGGAACATTTGTTGGGTGCCCAGAAAACAGGCTCTGACTGCATTTGAACTGACATATTTGAAAAATGAACTTTATTTCACTGCATACTGTTTCAGTGATTCATTCTTTATATGTGCATTTACTCAGCAGAAGTGAGTCGAAAATAAGATGGATGTTAAATTTATATGTTAATTTTAATATTGAAGCTATCCTATATTTGAAGAATAAGATCAATGCTTCAATTTCATTTCTTATGTGGTACTGAACGTTGTCATTACTGGGAAAAAATCATTTACGAATGCATCCTCCCCAAATTCCAATCTTAGAGGGCAGAGGACTCTCAGAAGAGGCAATCTTACCTCGTGCTGATGGTCTAGCCAGGAGATATTCTTCAATGTTCCCACAGTAGTATCATTTACTATTTCAGTGTGAAGGGTAAATAGCAAGGGTAGTGGTTTTTCCTTAAATTACAATGGAGTTTATTTACTAATTGGATTCTGAGAGTTTTCTGGTGTTGTTAGGCTGGGTCAGGAATTTCATTTATCCCATGAGCAAAGCCAGTGGACTTAACCAAAAGTAAACTCAGCATTACTGAGAAAAATTATCCCTCCAGAGGACTTGAGCCACTGCTTGGTGGTATTAGACCACAACCTCACACTTACATTGCAATTTAAATGAAAGATTCCAAAAGTCTGTGGAGAGTTCTTTGGAGAAAAAGAAGGAATGTCTGTCTCCTAGCTACATATGGCAGAACCAGATGTGTGACGGCTTCTTTGGAGGGAGGGCAGGTGAGTTTGGCAGGGGACCTTTCTCAGCCCCAGGGGCTGCTGTGGCAATACAAGTGGGTGCTGTCTTCACCAGCAGACTGCTGGCTCCCACACAGTCCCTGGCCTTCCTCATCGCTTCTGCCTGCAGGGAGCACTGGGTGACACAGGCTACTGTGGTGGTTGTGCATTTTGTGTATTGCCCCAAGGGGTCCAGCCAGGGGAGCACGTGGGAGCTCAGATGCAGAGTGGGTGCCCTTTACAAATTTGTCCTACCAGAAGAGGCCCTGTTTTGGGAGAAGCCTTTTTTCCCTTTGCACAAAGATACACTAAAGTCTAGCACCCTTTCCCTAAGGTACACCTAAGGGGAAGATAGGGAGAAAGAAAAAGAACGAATGAGTTGCAAGAGAACAGCCTGAGTATTAAAATAAGTAGTTATGGAAGCCATTGATACGTAAATCTTTGTCACCCCATCTCCTTTGGCGTGTCCCCTTTGGGAAAATAGGAAGTTGTTTTAGTTCACTTAGAGTTTCAAAAAATCCCACTCACTCGATTTGAGGGAGGTAGGAGACCCAGCCTTTATTGAGCGCCTACTTCCGGCATCTGTTAGGTCAGCCCACCATTCTGACCTCAGTTTGTCTCTGTGGATTGTCTTAAATCAGCTCAGGCCACCAGCAACCAAGAGGGCAGACGTCATTTGGGCCTGCCTGAGTAGACAATAGCATATGGGACACAAAGCAGGTGAATGAATGAAAATGCCTGCAGCAACACTGACGTATGCAGTTTCTTATCTTCAAGAGAGCCCTGTGAACCGGCCCATCTGCATATCTTTAATACAGTAATATCCGAGATTCACTGTAGACCCTGAATCTTCAAGAAATATTATGTCTCATGCAGCTCAGTATTAAAGATATCTTATATCTAGAGTTTTAAAAATTGGAAGCATGCTCTGTACACCACTGTTTACACCCACAGAGAGAATCATATTAATCCAACACAGATTTATTCAACTTAGCAATTCAAAGCACCTGTTAAGCATTATTTTAAAACCTCTAGTAATCTAAATCCAATCCAAATGCAATTAATTTATTTAAAACCAATTCTACGAAGATTCCCTCATTTTCCAAAAATGGTTTGGAGTTATGTGTGACGCAGGGACAGGTACTTATAACGCACTTATTCGGTGCCAGCCATTGGTCTAAGTGGCTCACATCTCTTCACTCATTTAATCCTCTCAACAACCACATGAGGTCGGTAGATTCCTATTCCCGTTTGATAGATGA